CAGACAGGTACACAATGATAGTTTAACATAACTTTCTCAGTGCTTCATAGAACAAAGAGGGGGAAAACAGTAAGGATATAGAAGATTTAAACAACATTATCGACCAACTTCAGCCCATTGACATTAATACAACACAACATCCAAATGTAGAATACAAAATGTATGCAAGTGTCCACGGAGAGTTCATCACGGAGAGTGATGACATGCATACATATGCTTGCATATGTCTGTATATACATACAGTGCACACGTATCATTTATATATAACACTGACCAAGAGAAGCAAAGCTCATTACAAAGATGGAAAGACATTTTTAGCTATTTTTCCTTAAATGGCAATAAAAATTCCATCACCTAAAAGCATTTTTAATTCAAGGTAAAATAGGTCATTCTACAATCTATATATTGTAAAGATATTTTCTGGAAACTATGACTCACATTATACAAAATATCCCACAGAAGTGACCAGCAAAATACACTTATTATCACAATGCATTAATAAGCCAAATTAATCAACTGCCAAAGTATACTATAGCTCGGCTTCAGCAGAGACAAAGTTCACAGAAGTTCTTCAGAATATTATTTGTTTATGATATAATTTCTAGCTAAAGTTAATTTTTGAGACAGACTTAAAATATAGCAAAAAATTAAAATTCCAAAGGGAAATATATAACCATGATATCTTCTAACCAAAAAATTTAAATTATGTTCAATGTGGCTCATGTTTTTAGCGAATACAATTCAAAGTTTTATTATCTCTAAATAGAACACAATAGAAAATTAAGGTATACATTTATTTTTACAAATGCCCAATAAAAATATAACATTAGGCTGAATGCCATGAGGCCTGAAGGTCCGTCATCCCCTGGGAAATTATCAGCAGAGCTGTCACAGGGGTTTTTCTTGGTCAGTGATTGAAACGTAAGCTCCTCTCAATTTCTTTACTCTTAAATACTACAGTAATGTGCTATCCTTCTAACCTACCCAATCTCGAATTCCTTTACTCCCTCCAAAATCTTTTTAGTTTCTTCTCTATAATTCCCATTCAATAATATAAAGACTTCCAAACAACCCTCATTCTCCCAAACCATTGCTAGGACCCTGGCCTTAAACCTCCTTTCTTACCCAAATCCTGATTCTCCCGTAAGACACAGCTTTTCTCTCTCAAATGGAAGCTGCATTTTTTTGCCATACTTCAAGTACTTCCGAGGTCTGGTGAAGAAGTTAATATACTCTTTATTCCTTCACACTTCTTCAGAACTCCTGAAGAGTAGAGAACTTCTTCTTCTCTACTCTTAAGTAAAGGCATGCTCCTTTGATATTTATATTATCTGACTATATTACTCTAACAATCTCTGGTCACAACCGGCTCAATGTACCTCTCCATCCTAATCCCAAGTTAACACTTATAACCAAATGAATGAGCCATTCGACATCCAGCCTCACAGATTTTTCATTTTTTCATTTTCTACGCCTTTCTTCACTGCACTTGCCACCCACTCCAATAGCCACATCCACATCCACATCTTTGAAATCACTAATCTTCTCATTCATATTTCCAGTCCCAACTTCTGTCCTGAATACTACACACGTTTCTTCAGTCAGTCTTCAACATCTTTACCTGAAAGTTTTGTAGGTACTTCAAACCCAACAATTGAAATGATAATTTCCCCCAATCAGTATCTTTTCTACTGCTCCAGTGAGTGGCACCATCATCCACCAAGTTGCTCAGAAGAGAAACCTGGTGTATTCTCTTCACACCTCATTCTTCCTCACTCACATATCTAGTTAATTATGAAGTTCCTTCAATTAATACTCTAAAACAAATATCACATTTCACATCTCTTTCTTTCTCTCTCTGCTGTTATAATTCTATCCCAAGTCACCATCATTTCTCACCTAGACAACTATATATGCTTTCTAACTGCTCTCCGCATATCTGTTCTTGCCCCCTCCAATCCATTCACAGCATGGCAGTCAGAGTGATCTTGTGGAACTGCAAATCTAATATATCACTCCTCTGTTTAAATAATCTCAATGGCTTCCCATAACAGGATTAAATACAAATTTATAGACCCCAACATGCCACATGATCTGATTCCTGCTCACTCTCTGGATCCTCTCAAACTCACCAAGTTAGTTCCTGTCTCAGGCATTCTCACATGTTCTCCTGGCTTAAAACAAATTCCTCTAATCCTTGGCCTAATTTCTACTCCTACTTTACTCATCAGAAAAATCTTTCCTGATACACTTATTGCCCTCATTATGATCTCTCATAGCTCCTTTTTTTCATAGCATTCATCACTATTTATAATTATAAATTTATTTTACATTGAGACTTAAAAATTTTTTTTTCAATCCCTACTAGATGAGTGTTATAAAACATAGACTAAACCTATTTTTCTGGGACTTCCCTGGTGGTGCAGTGGTTAAGACTCCATGCTCCCAATTCAGGGGGCTTGGGTTCAACCCCTGGTCAGGGAACTAGATCCCACAGGCATGCTGCAACTAAGAGTTCGCCTGCCACAACTAATGAGCCCGTGTGCCTCAACTAAGGAGCTGGCAAGCCACAACTAAGGAGCCCACATGCCACAACTAAGGAGCCGGCAAGCTGCAACTATGGATCCCTCGAGCTGCAACTAAGGAGTCCACCTGGCACAAATAAGACCCAGCTCAAACAAATTAATTAATTAATTAAAAATAAACCCATTTTTTTCCATGCTGTGCCTAGAATAGCACCTGTCATATAGTAAGCAGTTAAAAAAAAATCTATCGAATACATGAAAAAATTTAAATTGGCATTTCTTTGACTCTACCAAATTTGTATCTTGCTCTCATATATTATGGACAACTATATTTATCCATATTATTTGAACTTATTATACATATCCTTTGCCCATTTTTTATTGGAAAATTCAAAAGTTTTGCTTTAATAATATAAATATTAATAGTAACACTAACAATTATGACAATTTAAAAGTCCTAATCAGCTTTTAATGGATATTACATTAAATACAAAGATAAATTTGGAGGAACCCAAATCTTTGTAATATTTAGTTCATTCATCCAGGAATATTATAGGAATATCATATTTGTTTTCATTTAGCAAATAACTCATATATTTATAATATTTTCCCCCCATCTAGGAATATTATATTTATTTTCATTTACCAAATTCACCTTTTTGGTCCCCTGCTCCATAGAGGTCTTACACATTCCTGTTCAGCTCAAAGTTTTTTATATATGCCTATATTCCTTCCCCTTTTATATTTTTCTATGAGGTTTTTGCTGGAATACAGAAAGACTATAAATTTTTGTATATTTATAATATAAAAGACCACTTTGCTAATACTTATACCTCATTTCCCTTTCTCTTAATAAATTGGATAGAACTCCCAGAATAAAATTATTATTATAGAGGGGAGCCTTACCTATCTCTGACTTTAATGGGTATGCCTATAGTATTTCCTAAGATGGTATTTATATTGTAACCCACATTTTATTAGAAATACTTAAAAATAAATTATAATAAATACTAGTAAATACCCTTTCTATATCTTTCAAGATAACCATAAATTCTCCTTTATCTACCTATTATGTACTGAATATATTAATAGATTTGTTATTATTGGTCCATAATTTCCTTCCTAAAATAAATCCTACTTGGTTATAGCATAGTATTATTTTACTATACAGTTGCAGTCAAATTTCTCAATATTTTCTCTTTTAGTTTGTGGTTTCAGGTCTACTACCTTAAAAGGTACCGTCCATCCCAAGATTTTAAAAGCTAAAAATTTCTACAAATGGCATAATAAATGTAAATAAATGTAAAAATATATCATTTTTTCAGCCTAGGAAAACATATTTACAGACATAATAGACAAAGGATTAAAATCTCTAATATACAATGCAATAAGAAAAATAAAACAAAAAAGGACTATAAATAGGAAATTCACAGAATACACACATGCTCGTATACAATAATAATGTATATTATTAATTCGAAGAAAAATTAAGAAAATAAACTATGTACAGTGTTAGACAGGATGTGTTAAACATTCACTCTTCCATACTGCTGGAGGGACTATAAACTGATACGACCTTTTAGGAGGTTAATTTTGCATGTTTAACCACAGCTTTCATTCTGGACATCCAGTAAGTCATAAATTTCCAAGAAACTCTCCTACAGAATGCTGATGTTCTCCTACAGAATGCACATGTTCACAACAGCACTGTTAATTAATACAGTAGTATTAGAACCAATCTAAATATGTACAAATGAGGAATGGTTTAATAAATTAAGTTACCTCTGAAGAGTAGAATATCATACACCTATTTGAAAAGAGAGATCTAAATGTAATGATCTAGAAATATTTCCTTGATGAATGAGTGAAAAAAAATCAAACCATATAATAAATTTTTAGCAGATAAACATGTAAATATAAATAAGACCTGGAAGGATTTGCGGCACACTGTTAAAAGTGGTTACCACTAGGGGATGAGCCTAGAAGGGCTTAGAATTGAATTTTCAATTTTTACTTTACATACATTTTTTAAATAGTATGGATATAGATGATTTTTTTACTTTCTCTTGGGTTTTTTGTATATTTTGAACTTTAAAAAATTAAATAATTTGGTGTCTTTGTTAGTTTTCACATAAGATTTCTATACATCTACTCTTAAGTGAGACCAGTCTATAGGGTTTTTGTGTGCATTGTCCTCCTATTTAAATATCAAAGTTATACTATCTTAAAAAAATGAATTGGTAGCTTTCCTTTTTCTCTGCTATAAATGTTTGAATAAAATAGGAATCATTTGATTTTTACAAGCCTTCTTAGAATTTAATTATAAGTCATCTGCATGTGGCATCTTTAGCAAGGGTAGTTCTTGGACCACTTTTTCTACTTCTTCCATAGGTTTTTAGTCTGATAGCCTCCCTTCTATAAATAAATTCAGCTTTCATAGCTGTATGAACTTGTTTTTCACAGAGTTTTACTTACTCTACTGTTCATGTCTTCAATTTGCTTTGCTCGCTGAATTCTCCTCATTTCTAGGACCTGCTCTCTCTTCTTTTGCAACCATGCTTTAAACACCATGTCATTCTCTTTTTTCTTTTCTTTCTCTTCTTCTATTTTCCTTTGTTCCTCCTGGTGGAAGGAATATCCAAACACATTAATGAAAAATTAATAAAATTATATATGTGTTATCAAAGTAGAGAGATACATTTTGAGGTCTGAAATTAGGATTCCCTGCCCCTAAAAATTTCCATCTGTAAATTGGGCCTCCCTAAAAAACAGGACCTCTAATTTGCTTAGGGAAAAAAAATGAAGACTTTTCAGATAAATTACATTGTCAAGATAAAGTCTACAATTACATAGATCTACATTATACAACATGCTGTTCAAGAATTCCTTGGATCTCTCCTTCACTTCCTAGTTTACTCTTGGTATTTAACTCCCCAAATTGCAGCTGTGCAAAAGAGAAAAAAAAACACCATACTCTAGAAGCACTACATGGGGTCTATAGAAGCACTATAAATGTCTTAAAATTTTTTACATTTTTGTTAAATTTGATAATTGTGATACATGGCATTGTGGTTACAAAACAAAATGCTATAATCATTTTCTTTCTCACATGTACAATCACTTCTGAAGTGCACAAGTAGCAATGTTGGGCTGTCTAGGACTTGCTTTAAAAATACCTCAGCCAGGGACTTCCCTGGTGGCACAGTGCTTAAGAACCCGCCTGCCAATGCAGGGGACGTGGGTTCGATCCCTGGCCGGGAAGATCCCACATGCCGTGGAGCAACTAAGCCCGTGCACCACAACTACTGAGCCTGCACTCTTGAGCCCGCGAGCCACAACTACTGAGCCCACGCGCTGCAACTACTGAAGCCTGTGCGCCTAGAGCCCATGCTCCACAACAAGAGAAGCCTCTGCAATGAGAAGCCCACACACCGCAACGAAGAGTAGCCCCGGCTTGCCGCAACTAGAGAAAGCCCGTGCACAGCAACGAAGACCCAACACAGCCAAAAATAAATAAATAATTAATTTTTAAAAAATACCTCAGCCAAAAAAGGAAGAGATGAAACAAATATGCCAAAGTCTCAATGACTTTTGAATCTGGGTAAGGGAGACACAGGGGTTAATTGTACCTTTGTATATGTTTGAGATTTTTTTTATATAATGTTTAAAAATATTTTCAACTACTGTATAATCATAAAGTAACATTTCTGCTATCAGAAAAATAAGTAATTAGTTAACTATGAGAACAAAATGCACTTTATAACTGCATTATTCAACTAATGTTATAAAAGAGAGTTACTTAAACTAGAAGTGAGAGTACCTCACTGGTTTAAGTATAAACCAATTATGAAGAGTTATAAAATAGTTACTGGGAACAAAGCAGCATGTCACAGTGGAAAGAGCACCAAGCTAGAAGTTAGGAGGTCTGATTAACAATCATACTGCCATCATAATATGTCAATTTGGGCAAACCACTTAACTCAGTATTCCCATCTATAAGATGAAGTTGTATTAACAAGCTCTTAAGTCTCTTCCAATACTAAAATTTTAGCATGGAAATAAACTGAATTATAGAATACATGTTTAAACTGTTTTTAAACAATGGAATTCAGAGTTCTTTCCTTACATTTTGACAATATAGCAAGCCCTTCTAATTCTTTTTGATTGAACAACATACAGGAAGGAAAGGAAAAGTTCTATCCGATTAACAGTATAAAATGTCTTTTAAAATACCAGTATACTATTTTCTAAGCCCTAAAGGAGCTTACATTATATAATATGTGAATTTATTAAATATTAAATTTTATATTTAAGTTCATTTTTACCAAAAGGATTTTGGATGCCTTGCATGAATATAGACAGTATTGTAAGACAATTATTTTTCCAGATGGAACATCTGGATTATACAGAAGATATCAGCCAAAGCACAGATACTACAGTTGCCAAAGAGAACAGTGAAATGATGCACTTAATGTAGAGAGATGGAGTATAGCTGCCCAACCCAGCAAATATTTTGCTGGGCATAAAAAAGGAAAGCCTTCCCCTGAAACCAACTAAAAATATTTTAAAGTCTTAGCACTTAAAGACAATGCCTTCAGCAAGTACATAAGCAAAGGGAAATTTAGTTATGAGGATCCTGACATGAGAAAAGTATATCCCAAAACAGAGTGTTTGACACCTAAAAAAGAGGATCAAAAGAAAAACAGAACTATCCATCAGTCATACCAGTTAAAGATTACCGTTAATTCATTAGTGAAAAGACTGTTCAATACAAAAACTCCTACATAACTTTTACAGAAGTATATACACAAATACACATATAGATGCATGTGTGTGTACAGCAAACATATAGTTCAGTTATTCTCAACAAATTCTTTTGTGTTATCATGAAGTTCTGAGTTAACGATCCTTTTAAGTACCTATTATATACCTGAACCAAGTAAGCTGAGTCTGACTGTTAGAGTTTAGTACCCAAGTAAGCAAAATTTTATTAAGTATTCACCCTTTCAGATTCCTACCTGAGTGTGCTATAGGTTACACGTTCTTACTAACTTCATTTTTTTTATCTTTTTCTGCTAATGTGAGTTTGATTTAAATGCCAGAAATTTCCATGGTAATTTCCTACATAAGTAGAAAATATACCGTTTCTCAACAAATGACAAGAAAACTGGGATTTTGACTTTGCTACAGACAAGTTGAGGGACTTCAATAAAGTTATTTAAACTATCTCGACTATAGTTTTCTCATCTGTAAAATAATCTTTAAGGTTCCTTCTAATTGTAAGGTTCTATTAACTGTGATTCTGTTGCAGTTTGTATTTACAGTTAGACATTTTATATGGTTCAGCTTCATGCTATCAGGTAACCAGTAAAACAGAGAACCAGGGCGCTGATTTAGGTAATTTAGAGAAAATCCCCCAGTTTTAATACCTAGAATTTTCAATTATACTTTTATTTAAGAGCAAGGAAAAAAATCCCAAAATAATAATTTTGGATTCTGTATGGCATTTCGGAGACATTTCATTTAGGTTATGAGGTTCTATTCTTAATCTAAAACTAAAACCCCTGAAATCAAGGAACTGTAGTGTTGACGAAAATAATCTGTAATAGGAATAGAAAAGAGTTTTATTCCAGCCAAACTAAGGACTATAGCCCAGGAGACATAAATTCAAGAAGCACTTGAATTGTGTTCCACTGGACTACAAAATGGGGGAGGCATATATATTAGCAAAAACTGCAAAGTTACATAAGTTGTTTGTCAAGAACCAGGATTGAAGCTGGCAAGAAATAAGGGCGCTTGTTAAGCAAGGATTGGTTGGTATCTGAAATGGTGTCTCAAGGGGAGACCTTGAGAGCATAAGGTTGCAGCTGGCAGATATTATTTTGGAAAGTCTGCTGATATACTTGAGTTTGATACAGTTCAGAAAACTCAAGTTCTCGGCGATACAGGAACACATCTGAAACCACATCCACAACGGCCACCCAGTGCCATTTTGGATGCTTGGACCATAGTTTTATATCTTGTCAGAACAAAGAACAAACATCAAGCGTGAGAGGGGTACATCCCTTCAAGGTTTCAAAAGAGACAGATTAACATGTACACAGTAAGTCAGTATGACCTTGGTGTCTGGGTAGGGAACCTCATCTTCAAAGGAGTATTAGCATTGGTGTCATGGGAAGTGGGGGAGCATTTATCCTATCTTCAAAGTGGACATTCTAAGAAATCTGGTAAATACATTCTTTGTTTTCTTTAATGGCGAAAGGAGATGTACAATGTATGCTTTACAGGCCATAAGACAGGCTGTTCTAGTTAGCATAAAGTTCAAGACAAATCATGTATAAGCCAGAATGACTTCCCCATACCTCAATATGTGAAAATTTCTTCCATCAGTAGGCCTGGAAGATATATGAAATACACACACACACACACACACACACACTCCAGAGAACATAATCCAGTCCCACCTGTTGCCTCCTAAACCCCAACAAATTTGTGCCTTCATTTTTTCATCTGACATCTGATTTTCACCTACCTCATAACAAGATTACTTTCAGCAGTCACTTAACTTCTCTGAGCCTCACCTTTAAAATGAAAGGATCAGATGAGGTCATCACTGAGGTCTCCTCTAGCTCTAACACGGGTCATTCATTACTATGCTTTTGTGATGCTTACCAGAAAGGACCAAGGTAATCATGGTGCTTGTTCCATAAATACAGATGCTTAATACTTAACCACTTAATCCAACAAAAGAAAAACAAAATAAGCAAGTAGATATATCAAATAGTTTGAAGAACCATTTCAATTCCTACAGCATTTATGACACATAAAAACATATTCTACTTTCAATATAATGCCCACTTGTGCTCTCACCTCTCTCTTTAGCTTTTCTCTCTTTTGTTCTAGTCGTTTTTGCAGTTCTTTCTGTTGAGGAGAGAGACAGTATGTTGAGGTCACTGGAGATACATCTGCAGACCGCGTCCTATGACTAGATTTTCCATTCCCCTTACTTCGATCTGAGTTGGCAGCAGAACCTGGATGAGTCTTGGGGTTGGGTGGTGGCTGAGAGATATAAGCCAGTTGCTCTTCTGTTGATGAGTGAGCCAGAGCATGAATTTTTGCTATTGGCTCTTCTTTCTTGACTCCACTGACAGATAAATTGGGAGATCTGGGTGACAACTGCTGAGGCTCATTTTCTGTATAATTAGCATTATTAATGGGGGGCAAAAACCCCTGACTCTCAATGTCTTGTAAATTCAGAAGTTCAAACTTTCCATCTCTCTCTACTAGTATTTTCCTATCCTTGTTTTCTTCAGAATTTCCATCAGTAGGCGACAGGAGCACATTTTCTTGTGCAAATTCATTGGAAATACATAACTGAGACAGTTTTCCAGACACATCACTTTCATTTTCAAGATAATTTTTGTAAGTATCAGTGTCTTCCAGAGGAGGAACTTCCAAATCAACTAATTTGTCTTTGAATTTAAGTTTTCTTTCCCTTTTATCATTCACAGGTTCTTGATTTTGTAGAAGCTTGTTGGCTTGTATAATTTTCTCCATAATATATCTCCTTACTTCCTCATCCTCTTCCTCCTCCAGGTCTTGCTGGCTTTCTAGTTTGGATTCCTGTAAAGAGTTTTCACTGTCTGAATCTGATATGGGATCCAAAGGTTGAATACTCGGTACAGAAATGAAGTCATTTCTTATTGATGAAACCTCATCCTTGAAAGATCTGTCAGAATCAGAAAGCTGCTTGGAATGTTCTATTTCTGTTTCATTCTCTTTTAAGCCTTGGTTAATATTCTCTTCATTCCCACAAACCTTCTAGAAAAACAGAGATGAGATTCATTTTCAGTAAAAATTGAGACTCTTTTGTCCATTTATATGTAGACAATCCAAAATGGATTTTCATGCTCATGTAATTTATTTTATAAGTGGGAAAATTTACATGCTTCCTGATCATACTTCACTCATAATTTTCTAATTCATATTTATGAGCACCCCAAGGGAAAAGCACATCAGGAAAAATTTAACTCTAAATTTGAATTTGATGTTGCTAAGTACTAGACTGGTTATTTTTTTTTAATTTTATGCCAATGTATAAAAATGTACCTACAAATAGTACAATATTATTTTAATATTCCTCCCTCTATAAAATTTTCCTCCCTTTACAGTTTCAGAAGAATATATTTTAAAATGTTTTCTCCTGTAATATTTGTATTTTTCAAAAAGATATCTTTCTCCCCAGGACCATTACAAGGTCAGTGCCTTTGGTCAAGTCCTAATAATTTTGAGGTTCCTATAATCTTTTCAGATTAGTGTTGCTGCTATTTTCTGCAGGACCTATACCCAAATATCAGGTCAAGTTTTAGCTCTGGATCAGATTCTCTTTCCTCAGCTATCTTCAGAGGCTCCAATAATCTACGTTAAACACCATTATATAACTTGGCCTTACTTTTTTAAAAAATGTAATTCCACATGAACCGTAAACCAGCATTATCACATCACAAAACCCTGCTCCACATCTGTTTCTAACTAATGGTTTCTTACCTAGCATCTCTCCTCCAAACATGTATCCTCACCTACCAAACACTTTGCCCCTAAAATATATAATTTTTTCTCTTTCTCAGACAATTCTCTCCTCCTGAAAGAGTTCCATGGGAGCTACTCTTTTCTGCTCTCTTCAACCCCTTAAAATTCCCTTCCTCTTTTACTAGCTCAGTCACCATTTCTAACAGCCTTCTCTTCCTAACCTGCACAACACTGCTGGATGTCCAATAAGTAAATAAACCTGGCCCCCTAAAATGACTACCAAACAACTAAGACCAACTAAGACCTCTGCCTTGTAATTTTTCTTTTTAGCTGTACTTGATTCTCTGGCTCATTTCTATAGTATCTGTTTCCAAATTCTCCTTTAGCTTTCACTTCTTTGTAAAACCCACTACAGTAAAATCTTCCCCCGACCCTCACCCCTGTTTCAAGCTCTGTCATCCATCTTTCCTACCAGCCTCAAAGGAAAAAGTGATTGTAGTAATCCACCAGAACGAGCAAGACTCATCACAGCACTGTTTTGACCACTGCTGTATCCTCAGCACTGTTTTGACCACTGCTGTATCCTCAGCACTTAGAACAGCCTCTGACACATGGCAGGTGATCATTACTTTTTGTTGAATGAATGAATAAAGAAGTAAAACAATGAATTATCATTATCACTTCTCTAATTCTGTTACCCTGTGCTGTGGCTCTCACACTCTTCTAGTCATGAGACCTTGGTTCAGCATTATTGCTCTGGGTATCTCTACCTCTACTCATTCTGATTATTTTTTTGTTAAAGATGCATAAAACTGCCATGTAAAAGTCATCTTGGAAAAGTCTTCACTTTTGACTCTGTTGCCATTTCCAAATATCATCTATCCCATCTGTCTTCTCCATTGCATAAGAAAGCAAAACGGAACTAAGAGACAGTTGTGATGTAAAACCTGCTGCCTTCATTTCCTCATATTCTTTTCCTTAACTCTCTGAAATCTGGCTTCTGTTGTAACTACTCTGATCAACGTCCCTCTAAAGTCACCTTTTCTTATCCCCATCTTGGTCCTTTTCTTTATTACTTCCCTATTTATTGACAATAATTATATTATACATAATAATTATGTATTATCTATTGTAATACACATATATAATTAGTGTCAATACATATGCATATATATATATACACACACATATATATTATATATGGATACACATACACACTGTATATATGTAAAGAGAGAAAGAAGGAACCTTCTGTGAACCAGGAACTGGTTCATTTTCCTGGACTTCCCTTCTACATGTCTGATACGGAATCATGTTTAATGGATCCACTTTTTCCTACAAATATTCCTATGGCTCAGTCTTTGACCTTTTACTTTTTTCCATATATTCATTCCCCTAAAATTCACTCTTAAGGTTTCCAATATTAGCTGAAGACCATGTTTTTGAGGATTTGCTTTATTTTTCATGTATATTAAAAGAATAAACCCATGATTTTACCCAGGTTCATATAAAGTAGAAATTAAATGTATTTTACTTTTGATGCAATAAATTATTTACATTATGTAAATTATAATTTTAATTTTTTAATTATAATTTTGGCTTTATTAAGTGCTAACTTAATCGCTGTTCTCTCACTAATTAGCCCTATGCCTTAGGACGTTTAAACTCTCCACGCCTCAATTTTCTCATCTCTAAGATGGGGATAATTACACTTGCTCTATGTATATCAAAGGAATTTTGTGAGGTTCAGATGAGATAATATATGTGAAACGCCTCAAGAACTACAAAACGCTTTGTTAATATAATTACTATGAACTCTGTTGGCAATTTATATATACCTCTATTACGCTGGCACCATTTTCTTCTTTTTCATTAATCAACCATTCCAGGTCCTTTTCAAAGTCATCTTCATATTCTTCACTACCTTTTGAATCAGTTTCTTGATTTTCATCCATTTTCTGTTTGTTAAAGAATAATGTTATAAGATTAAAAGAGATAAGGTGTATGTCATGTCCACTTTAGGGGTAGTATGGAGTATGCTTAATTAGCTTACCTTTAATGTTAAAGGTAAGCTAATTAAACACAGAAACACAAATTATGGAATGTTCAGAATAAACATATCAGCATACCCTAAAAGAGAGACTTAAAAAGGCCAGACATTTTCTAGGTGTACCACTCCTAACAACCATTCCACCTCCCCGCAATTCCTGACACCCTATTTACGAGGAGACTAAAAAAGGTGGATAAGAAAAGTATCTGAGGCTTAGAGAAGGATTTTCCACATCCCTACCAATCATTAAAACTCCTTGTCCAGGTACAAGCTGATGAATCAGCTTTTTAGTCTCACTCGTTCACATTTTCTCATATTCAAATAAAAACAATTATATTAACCCTCATCCTCAGTTTCTCAGTCCTTCTGGTAATTTATATAGCATAATTATAATTTGTGATCTGAGAGTTTTTTTTTAACTATGTAACAACTGACTCTCAGTTATAGTAAATACTAATTTCCAGAGAAGTCAAACTGTTGTCAATTCAAAATAACATATATCTTTTTCATAAAAAACAAACTGTGATGCCTAGTACTATCTGTAAGGCAGTGACAAGAAACAAGAATGTCAGATGACAGTTAATAAATGTTTGTGAAAATGGTATAAAACTTTTTATGAAAATACCATTCAGCCATTTTTATGAAAAAACTAAAGTTATCTGCAAATTGAGGTCAGTTCCAAGTCCTAATTTTTTGGTCCATAACTTTTCAAATGATGGAAGCATTTTAATCTTTACCTATAACGTGCCTTTATGTGTGTGAGCATACTATATACATGTGTGAATATGCACTGCAATTTTGACAAATATTTGTTGAACACCTATGATATTCCTATAAAAATTATAAAATATGCTCTTGAGCCCTGATACAGAAGACAAACATAAACAAAATACATACATTTAAAATGTAGATAAAAAACATAAATTGAAAATGTAGATAAGTGGGGAAAAGGTATATTATAAAGGACTGTGGAAAGAAGAATAAAAAAGCAACTAACTCCGTTTAAAATTGGAAATATCAAGGAAAGATGAGATGGGTTTTGAATAATGAGTACGAGAGTTCATCATTATCCCAGACAAGAGAACAGCATGAGGAAGAAGCAACACAGAAGTGCATGGAATTTTCCAGTGTGGCCTGAACATAAATGTGCTCCTGGAGAAGGGTCTAGAAGAAGTGAGAAGGCATCAGTTTGATGTCATATTTTCTTTTCAAAAAGAAAATGGTTGAGGGAAAATTGTTTATGTGGATCTAATTGTCATGAAATAGCCAAAGGTAGAAATATACAGCAATAATCTGCATACGTTCCACTATTGACTTAAACAAAAAGAGCAATGCTCTATAAATATACCTAGAATTTTAGGTCCAGTTTCAAAATAACTGTAGAACTATGATCTTCAGGGCCCCAAACACCTGGGACCTTGTTTCTATACCTGCCTTCTCTTGCTCCTACACCAAGAATAGGTTGCCTAAAACCTTTTCTGGAAGTAGAAAGTACAGAAGTCAAGCACACATTAAATCTAGGTACATTGTTTTTGTTTTGTTTTGTTTTTTTGCGGTACGCGGGCCTCTCACTGTTGTGGCCTCTCCCGCTGCGGAGCACAGGCTACGGACGCGCAGGCCCAGCAGCCATGGCTCACGGGCCCAGCCGCTCCGCGGCATGTGGGATCTTCCCGGACTGGGGCACGAACCCGTGTCCCCTGCATCGGCAGGCAGACTCTCAACCACTGCGCCACCAGGGAAGCCCTAGGTACATTTTTTAAGATACAAAATGAGAGAAATTATGTTTGATTTGATAAACATAAAACATCAAACTCTGTTGTGGCCATTAGCTTCACTTTATTCTCCCCAAATGTTTGACCAGACTACCTAACCTGGTGCCAGTTTTACTAAAGCAAGATTTACATTTTTTTCCTTCTACTGTTCACTACCAAATGATAATGAAAGCATGTGGGAGACCATCTTTCCACTAGCTGTACAAGCACTAGCTAAGAGAATAGATAATGCTATGTGTGAAAAAGTTTTGATAGGTTTTAGTGCACAGTATGTTCAAAATGAGTTAAAAGGATGAGATAATTCAAATAGATACATGCACCCCAATGTTCACAGCAGCACTATTTACAATAACCAAAACATGGAAGCAACCTAAATGTCTATCAACAGATGAATGGATAAAGAAGATGTGGTGTGTATATATACACAATGGAATATTATTACTCAGCCATACAAAAGAATGAAATAATGCCATTTGCAGCAACATGGATGGACCTAGAGATTATCATACTAAGTGAAGTAAGTCAGAAGGAGGAAGACAAGTACCATATGAGATCACTTGTACGTGGAACCTAAAATATGACACAAATGAACTTATTTATGAAACAGAAACAAACTCACAGACATACAAAACAAACTTCTGGTTACCAAAGGGGAAAGGGAGTAGGGGAGGGATAAATTAGGAGTTTGGGATTAGCAGATACAAACTACTATATATAAAACAGATAAACAACAAGGTCTTACTGTTAAGCAACAAGGTCCTACTGTATAGCACAGGGAACTATATTCAATATCCTGTGATAAACCATAATGGAAAAGAATATGAAAAAGAATATATGAATCACTTTGCTGTACACCAGAAACTAACACAACACTGTAAATCAAGTATACATCAATTAGAAAAAAATGATGAGGACGAAAACATAAATGGGTTCCAAGGCTGAGACCTGGCTGAGGTACAGATAACATACAAAGCTCTGTATGCAGTTTGTTACAGTTTAGAGAACAAAAGACAAGCTGGAACACATTCAGAGGTTGGTAAACCAGGAGACAGGGAAATAAAAGACAAGGAGAAGGGAAGAAGACAGGTTATGAGAATAAAATGCCTTAAAGCCAGTATTCTGAGGAATACTTGAAAACCCTCAGAATGTTAGCCCACAGAAGAGAAATCTCCTAAAGGAGAGTCATGACAACTGCTTTACAATATTTAAATGGTAACCATGTAAAGGAGGGTTGGACTTGCATTATTTCAAACAGTAAGACTAGTACCAAGGACTAGAAACTCAGGGGCAAATTTTTCCACAATGTAAGACAGAATTTACATTTTCAAACTTGCCCTGAAGTGAGCTGAGTTCCCTGTTGATCAAATGTTTATACATAGCTCAGAAGATAATCACAGCAAGACTGTTTCAAAGGAGACTGAAACTTTAGACAAATGATTGAGCTAGATGACCCTTAGGTTTATTTTAACTTTTACTACAAGAAGCAAATTAGCAAATAACTGCCGACTTATGAATTGCAAGAGAATGTAAAAACAAATGCACAGTACCATGATAATGCTTACTCTAAGATAAATTATCAGTGTCTGAATAACTGAGTTCAAGACTTAAATTCTAAAGTCTATCTCATTTAAATGTCACCACCTTTCCTCTGCAGAGTTCTTAATATTACTTCCCCTTCCCTCTCAAGACAAAATTAGTTTTAGGCACACTGAGTGTTAATTATTCAACTCAATTATTCAACTGGATAATTATAACTATTTCTAATGTATTAGTTGGACTGTATCTTTCTAGATACTTATTTCTTTTAAGCTAAAAATAGGAAATGGACTTTCTTAAAGGACTCAAAGTAATGTCTCAATAATTTGGAAATCAGAGGTTGAGAGGAATATTTTGAAGTGACCTGAAGAAAACAAATCAATGTTTCAGAGTGAGTTTATTTATCACTCCCTAAGCTGCAAAACTGGCTAAATCACGCAAACTGTTTTGTCTACTTACCTACCAATTAAAAGTAAGGGTGCTGGGGCTTCCCTGGTGGTGTAGTGGTTAAGAATCCGCCTGCCAATGCAGGGGACACGGGTTCAAGCCCTGGTCCGGGAAGATCCTACACGCCACGGAGCAGCTAAGCCCGAGCACCACAACTACTGAGCCTGTGCTCTAGAGCCCGTGAGCCACAACTACTGAGCCCATGTGCCACAACTACCAAAGCCTGCGTGCACAGAGCCCGTGCTCCACAACAAGAGAAGCCATGACAATGAGAAGCCCACGCACCACAAGGAAGAGTAGCCCTCGCTCGCCGCAACTAGAGAAAGCCCACACGCAGCAATGAAGACCCAACGCAGCCAAAAATAAATAAATAAAATAAATAAATTTTAAAAAATTGTTTTAAAAAGTAAGGGTGCCAAGAATGATGTAGAATAGACTAAAACTCACTGTGATCCAAAACACTTCTATAAATAATACTATTTTTCACAGTCACATATGCCTTAGGATAATCAGCTTTATTTTCAGATCAGGAATCTTGAAATTTATTATTTTAAGATGTTTAAGTTACATAACTAATTGTTAGAGTAAGACTTCTATGGAATTCATCACTGCTTTCCCTTAATTTCATAAAAACATGGTTCTGACCTGTAAATAAATGGTTGCCTGAAGACTCCAGTAGATACGCTTTTCTATTCACAAAGTATCTCACCCATGTGAAAACTCAAATTTAAAACTAAAACACAGAATCAGCAAAGTAAGATAATTACAAACTAAACATATTAGGTATTCTTAAATCAAACTATCATGCTGTAATTAAAAAGAAAAAAAGCCATAGTTGAAGTGACTCAGGGAAGTAAATGAAGTTCATCAAATAACAAGTGCCATTCTTCTCCTGTAACTTCAAAAAATTCATGGATCGTTCCCAAGTAAACAAAGAACATAAATCATAAGCTCTTGTAACGAAGTCCCTTAAGCCTTTTTCAAATGCGTCACAGGATATTCAATCCCCTTCAGTTTTTTTAATCTTCATCCCCAGGGTACTGGCCATATGGCACACAGTCTACATTCTGGAAAAGAAATACATCTTACACAAACTGAATCACCTAACACGTATTCCTTGTGAGTTTCACACATTCACTGTGTATCATCAGTAAAAACCTATGTAGGTGGCTTAGGCCAGAACCACCCTCTTAATAAGGAACTGTAGCAAGAGACAGAAATTAACTCCTTCCTCTTATGTGTCTGCTAAATCCCACGTGGTTATGACTGTAGATTTTTTAGTTAAGTCCATATATACACACAATTTTGATAAGTTTCTTTCAGGATTCAAAACACTCAAAAATAGTTTAATCTAAATCATTGACTCCAGTCATACTAGTTTAAGGTTGCTTAAAATCTAAGAAAACGGGAAGAACGTCAAACCAAACGCCTTTTAATATAAAATAAGTACTTAAGCAAAAGCTAACCAATAATCACATCATGAAACCATCTGGCCCATTCTTACTGCGGCATCCTACCCAGACTGTGATCCCATCAGTAAAAATTTTTTTAAGTCACAATCTGTCACACAGTATGACGATAAACAATATTTTACAAACATCAGTGGTAATTTTAATTTCTATCCAGGGTCCCAAGGTACCACCGACTAACTGAATACCTTAGCCTCTTCATGGAAGCTAACATTTCAGGAGTGACTTTTTTCTCCCAGGGATGAGACTTTCAGAGGCGAAAGAATATGACAAAAATTAGAAAGGAAGCTACCCTCTGAGGGGTTTCCCTCATACAGAGCGAAGTAAGGCGGAATTGCCAGGCTTCCCTGCCAGCGCCAAGCTCCGTGGACCCCGGACTCAGAAGGATGAGGCGCCAACACGAAGTCTCCTTACTCGCTTCTCTACCCACCTTTCCTCCCAGCTGTCCCAGACGTTTACCCCTTTACCCTCTCTCCCACCGTAAATATCTCCGCATCATCCTTCCCTTCGCTCCCTCTATATCCCCTCCTGCCTGTGTAAGACGCAGCGGCTGAGGTCACAAAGTCGGCCAGGGGAGTTCTCCTTTCCTCCTCTTTCTAAGCTCTGACAGCAAAGCGAGCGAGACCCCAGCACTTGCGCCGCAGCAGCCAGGACCCTGCTGCCATGGCAACGGCGCCTCTCCGCGTCTTCCATCCGGGCCTCTTTCACTACAAGGGCGCGGGAGACCAGCGCAGACGCAGACGATAGCTTAAGAACACCTACCCCTCCGGGCGCTCCTCCTGGCGCGGGCAAACGACCTCTCTGGCTGCGGTTTCTGAGGAAACGACCAAGAAATCCAAGCATCACCCATAAGTTTCACGAGGGTTAGTACGAATTGGGGAAAGTTTACTGTCTGGGTTGAGTTTTCCAACGTGTGTCTCTTGCCGGATACGGACTTTATTAGAATGAATTCTAGAGGTATATTGCCGTTAAGTTGTTTTCTTCACCATTAACTTCCAAAAGTAGTTTCAGCTTTCATTAGTAGATAAGCACATTGCTAATTAGTGACCGGAAGATTCCCCATCCCACCCCCATCCTCCCTAAGCAAAACCAAACCTTTGCAGCTAGAGGTTATCATACTAAGTGAAGTTAAGTCAGAAAGAGAAAGACAAATACTATGTGATATCACTTGCATGTGGAATCTGAAATATGGCACAAATGAACCTGCTATGAAACAGAAACAGACTCACAGACGTGGAGAACAGACTTGTGGTTGCCAAGGGGGAGGGGGTGGGGGAGGAAAGGACTGGGAGTTTGGGATTAGCAGATGTAACCTATTATATACAGGATGGATAAACAGCAAGGTCCTACTGTATAGCACAGGGAACTATATTCAATATGCTGTAATAAAACATAATGAAAAAAATATGAAAAAGCATGTGTATAACTGAGTCACGTTGCTGTACAGCAGAGATTGGCACAGCATTGTATATCAACTATATTTCAATTAAAAAAATAGAGTAAAATAAAAACTTTTATTGCCCAAGAGAATGGTCAAAGGAAATAGGTTGTTTGCTCCAACTTTCAAGCATGTCAAAATGGTCATCTAGAATTTTCTCAAATCCTCCTTAAAGGTCATCTTTATGTATGAAGGGGGAGCAAGATGATTTTGGGACTGTGGTGACAAATGACAAGATTTTAGGAACTGTCCATTCCCTACCAGAAATAAAACAGGGAGAAATGAAAATATTTCCTCAGCACATTCCATTCAGATTATTTTTGTTTATTATTAGGATTTCTATCATTTGGTAAAATGGAGAGCACCTTTTCTCCAAAGAGGAGCAATATAAAACTGAATTTTTAAGTATTCTCCAAACTGTACAGTAGACTAAGTTAAAAAACATAGAAAAGATTTAAGGTTAAGATTAATTACAATATTGAGTGCACTTCCTAGCTACAGTGTAGAATGTATAGTTGTAACGACCTAATGTTTCTTCTGCTGCAGGACTTTGGTCTTAGGCCAAACACTTGAAAAAGACAAAAAATATAAAATTATCAAGTATTGAAGGACAAAGGAATTTTAGTCAAATCTCCTTTAGTGAACATGGAATTACTACAAAGCTAAAGTTGACCTTACGTTTCTGAACTCCTAGTTGAATATTTTTTCCACTGACCCTCCTAAATATTTTAAGTATTTTTGCAAATATTAATGGAATATAGCACCATTGTTCATAATATCCAAAAAGCAGAAACAACCCAAATGGCCAAAAAATAATGAATGGATACATAAAATGTAGTATATCCATTCAATGGAATATTTCAGCTGTAAAAAGGAATGAAGTACTGATAAATATTCAATACTACAACATGGATGAACCTTGAAAATGTTACTGAATTGGTCAACCGGACCCATGCTTAGAGAATAGATCTTAAGTGTTATCACCAAAAAAAGAAAAGTAACTATGGGAGGTAATGCATGTGTTAATTAACTTGATTGTTGTAATCATTTATACTTATAAATATTATACAGTATAATATTTAATAATATTATATAATATTTACATATAAAATATTTTTATATATAAAGTCATCATATTGTACACCTTAAAAATCATGTCATATAACCTAACTATATACAATTTTTATTTGTCAATTATACCTCAGTGAAGTTGGAAAAATAAAGTCCTCTTTCCTCTTCTCTCTGGTGTGAGCCCTTTGGACTACCAATGACTGCACAAGGAAGGAGAATTAAGGAAATATAGGAACAGGATGATTTAGGTAAATGCAGGTACAAAAAGAAAAGAAGTTTTCTGCTATACAGGCCCTTTCACCTGGATGGACTTTAATGCTCTTCAAAGTCAGAAAATGTTAAGCATCAATAAATGACTATGTTTTAGTAATAGGCAGCAGAAATGTGTTTCTAATTTATGACTCATCAAAGACTGGGATTTTTTTTTTTAATTGGGGTATAGTTGTTTTACAGTGTTGTGTTAGTTTCTACTGTACAGCAAAGTGGAGTTCCCTGTGGTATACAGCAATTCTCATTAGCTATCTATTTTATATGTATTAGTGTATATGCGTCAATCCCAATCACCCAATTCATCCCACCCACCCTTTCCCCACTTGGTGTCCATAGGTTTGTTCTCTACATCTGTGTCTCTATTTCTGCCTTGCAAACTGGTCCATCTGTACCATTTTTCTAGATTCCACATAGATGTGTTAATATATGATATTTGTTTTTCTCTTTCTGACTTATTTCACTCTGTATGACAGTCTCTAGGTCCGTCCACGTCTCTACAAATGACCCAATTTCGTTCCTTTTTATGGCTGAGGAATATTCCATTGTATATATATACCACATCTTCTATTTTTTATTTATTTATTTATATTTGGCTGCGATGGGTCTTCATTGCTGCACGCAGGATTTCTCTAGTTGTGGCGAGCGGGGACTACTCTTCGTTGTGGTGCGTGGGCTTCTCATTGCGGTGGCTTCTTTTGTTGCAGAGCATAGGCTCTATGCACGCAGGCTTCAGTAGTTGTGGCTCATGTGCTCTAGAGTGCAGGCTCAATAGTTTTGGCACACAGGCTTAGCTGCTCCGCTGCATGTGGGATATTCCTGGACCACGGATAGAACCCATGTCCCCTGCATTGGCAGGCAGTGGATTCTTAACCACTGTGCCATGAGGGGAGTCCCTGTCTTCTTTTTTTTTAATTAATTTTTTTTTAATTTGGGTATAGTTTTTTTTACAATGTTGTGTTAGTTTTTACTGTACAGTGAAGTGGAGTTCCCTGTGCTATACAGCAGGTTCTCATTAGTTATCTATTTTATACATAGTAGTGTATATATGTCAAGCCCAATCTCCCAATTCATCCCACCCCCCCCTTGGTGTCCATAAGTTTGTTCTCTACATCTGCATCTCTATTTCTGACTTGCAAACCAGTTCATCTGTACCATTTTTCTAGATTCCACATATATGCGTTAATATACAATATTTGTTTTTCTCCTTCAGACTTACTTCATGCTGTATGATAGTCTCTAGGTCCATCCACATCTCTACAAATGACCCAAATTCATTCATTTTTATGGCTAAGTAATATTCCATTGTATATATGTACCACATCTTCTTTATCCATTCGTCTGTCAGTGGACACTTCCATGACCTGGCTATTGTAAATAGTGCTGCAGTGAACACTGGAGGTGCATGTGTCTTTTTGAATTATGGTTTTATCTGGGTATATGCCCAGTATTGGGATTGCTGGGCATTATAGTAATTCTATTTTTAGTTTTTTAAGGAACCTCCATAGTGGCTGTATCAATTTACATTCCCACCAACAGTGCAAGAGTGTTCCCTTTTCTCTACACCCTCTCCAGCATTTGTTGTTTGTAGATTTTTCTGATGATGCCCATTCTAACTGGTGTGAGGTGATACCTCATTGTAGTTTTGATTTGCATTTCTCTAATGATTAGTGATGTTGAGCATCTTTTCGTGTGCCTCTTGGCCATCTGTATGTCTTCATTAGAGAAATGAAAGACTATGGGATTTTACAAATAGTGATCACTGTGTATATGAATAGTGCCATGTGTTTTCCCTCTCCACTGGTTAATTTAATACTAGTTATAACTATAAATTTCAAATGTCCATTCTGAAAAAAAGATCCAAGAAAGAGATAAAACTCCCCCAGTTTTCTGTCATTGTTCATTATACATGGTATAGAAATAAGTACACAAAATGAGGAAGAGAGCAGCATAAGGTTGAGCAACTCTCTTTCAATTAAATAAAAGCACTTTGAAGGCTTTGATTTAGAAAAACCAATATTTATTTAACTTAAGTACCCAGAAGAGATTAAATAAATGCCAAGAATTAAGAAGACATGACTGTACATGTCTTCTATAAAACTGTTCAAAGTAAAACACTTTACAGACAATATGCAGATTCTGTATAGAGTCACGATATTCTAAATCATTCAACAAATATTACTCAGCACTTAAGTGGCAGACACTGTTCTAGATACTTGGAATATATCAATGAACTATCATCTTCCCTGGAAGTCAGAGTTCCAACTATCTCAAACACCTAGAACCCAATTGCCAAAAAAAAAAGGTGCAAAAGTCTCAGAGTCCTTTGCCTTACTTTATTCTAATAAGTTCAGATCTCTGAGTTCCCAGCCCAGAAATTAGAATGTTATCATTTGAAAGGAAGGGAAAAAGAAGAGGTGAAATTTTAAGCATGTATTCTTCTGAATTTATACCTATACATTCCACCTTTAAGGCTCATTTATTTACAGAGCACAAGGGCTTTATAATGTTTACATACATGTATTTGAAATCGATACATTAACATCTGGATCTTTTGTAAATTAAAAAAGCTATTTTATAATGTAGGGAATATTTTCTTTAGGAAGTGAAAAATTCACCGCCTTTATGGAGCTCACCTTCTAGTAGGGAGAAAAGACAATAAATAATAAACATACTAAATAAGTAAATCATATTGTGTGTCAGAAGGTGAGAAATGATATATAAAACATAAAGCCAAGAAGAGAGGATCAGAAGTGTGGGGCTAGGTTGTAGTAATGGGGCTGCTATTTCAAATAACTTAGTCAAGTTAAGCCTTATTGAGGTGACATTTGATACTTTTAATAGTAGTTATACACAGATTTGATGTATAATAATATTTATCAATTACATATATATTACATATCAGATATATCTTATATCTGGATATAGTTATAATAAAAATATAGCAACTGCTAAAAAAATCAAGACATTCTTTCTGTAGTGCACTATTATTATGAGTGTGTCACAGTAAAGGCTGGAGAGCTTGAGTTTGCATATGA